CAATTTTATTAAATTTTGTTTTAATAATTGAAATTTTGCCAAGAATTTAATTAAAATTATTAACAATAATTGAATTCTTGAGAAGAATTTTGATATTTATCAAAATAATTGAATTTTGGAAAAGAATTTCATTAAAAATCCTTAAAATAATTGAATTCTTGGGAAAAATTTTATTGAAACCTAAAAGAATAATTGAATTATTTCAAAAAAAAAATTTTAATTGCGTATTTAAAATAATTGATTTCTTTGGAAACAATTTTATTAAAATATTTGAAAATAATGGAATTCCTGTGAAAAATTTTAATATTTTTGTAAATAATTGAATTCTTCCAAAGAATTTTAAAAAAACATTTTTTGAAAATAATTGATTTTTTCGAGAAATTGAAATCAAATTTTAAAGAATAATTACATTTTTTTGAGCAATTTCCATAAAATTATATTAAAAATAATTGAAATCCTGCAATGAATTTTATTATTTATGCGAAAATATTTGAATTTTGAATAGTTGCTAAGAATTTTATTAAAATTTTCAAAAATAATTGAATTCCTGAGAAGAATTTTATTATTTATGACAATAATTGAATTATTGCGAAAAATTTTATTAAAATGTCTTAAAAAAATTGATTTTCTGTGAAAAATTTTGTTATTTTTGAAAATAATTGAATTCTTGATAAAGAATTTCATAAAGATTATTTTATTAAAATTTTATTAAAATTTTATTAAAATTTTTAAAAATAATCGAATTCCTGAGAAGAATTTTATTATTTATGAAAATAATTGAATTAGTGCGAAGAATTTTATTAAAATTTTTGAAAATAATTGAATTTTTGGCGAAAAATGTTGCTATTTATAAAAATAATTGAATTCTTGACGAGATATTCATTAAAATTTTTAAAAGTAATTGAATTCGTGCAATTTATTAAATTTTGTTTAAATAATAATTAAAATTTTGCTAAGAATTTAATTAAAATTTTTTTGAATTCTTGAGAAGAATTTTGATATTTATCAAAATAATTGAATGTTGGAAAAGAATTTCATTAAAGATCCTTAAAGTAGTTGATTTTATGGGAAGAATTTTGTTGGTTATCATGATAATTGAATTCTTTTGCAGAATTACTTAAAAGTTATTGAAAATAATTGATTTCCTGCCACGAAACTCGCACGAAAATAGGGGAAATTTTCAAAATTGGGTACGTTTAGGGGCCAAAATTAAAAAAAGGGGACCTTATAGGGAAATAGTGGACAGACTGTGAAGCCCACGACCACGAATGTCCGAAAAATCAATTATCGAAATTTGGAAAGAGAATTCTCGTTCTGAAAAATGTTTCACGGCATTTTTGAATTTGAACCGAGAATCACGATCAGGTCCTCGATGGAAAATTCAAGACATGATGGAATATTTTCTAAATGGCGGGAAAGCTGGTGATAAATGGTAATCCTGGCAAGTACACTGGAGGTTTGAAAAAGCGATAAATGTTCCGAAAATGGTGGCATTCGACGAAAAAGGTGTCTGAGTAGGGAGTTGCAAAGTTGCGAGCCAAGTGTGCATACATACATTACATAGTTATGCAAAACGTGTGCGCACTGTGGTTGTGGAAAGTCGAAAAAAAAGAATGAAAAGAGGAAAGAAAAAAATACACGTCGTCGAGAGGGAACAATTGATTTATGTCGAAGTCAGTCTAACACACGATATACATCTTCAATTCTTATCCATCTATTTTGCGTTCATGCATATCGTTCTTGTTACAATAGGATATATCCTAAACGACCTAAACCTAACTGCTGTGCCGACCCTTTTCATTCTCTCTCTCTCTCTCGATAAATTTCTCACTGGAGACCTTACCTTGCCTTATCAAGCCAAGTACGGAAGCGAAGGAGAAATACGACCAAGAATTCGGATCGTATTCGCAATCCCCTTTTTAGAACCTATAACAAGAATTGCCGAGAATTTAAGTCCATTTAGGTGAAATAGGATACAAATTTTACTTGAAAATCTCCTCAAGTCTAAGAAACTTGAGGATATTTATTGTCACCTTATTCGGCGAATAGAGTAGTTGAAATTCAGAAAATGGTGTACATGGTACACTTCACCGGCGCTGCATGTCCTTCTTGTTCGTTGATTTTAAATTAACACCGCTCTGCAAGAGAGTTTTCCATGTAATGAATTTGTAATTTCACTTGTTCTTCGCTTTTTTGAGAATATATCATTCACTACTTGTAAAAGATCCTTAATTCAGGGTTGCCACGCAACCTGGAAACTTGGAAATGTCAGGGAATTTTTATAAACCTTGAAAAAACCTGGAAAAGTCAGGGAATTTTGATTGGAATCCTGGAAAATTATTGTTTTTTAAATATTTATTATTTTTATTTTTGAATTTTTTATTTTTATTCTTGAAATCTAATTTTTCATTAATTCAATTTTCTTAATTCAATTTTAAAAGAGTTGCCTTTACAATTTTTCTTCGCAATAATTCAATTATTTTCATAAATAATAAAACTCTTTGCAAAATTTCAATTATTTTTAATACATTTTTAATGGAATTTCTCGAAAAATGAAATTATTCTTAAAAATTTTATTAAAATTCATCAAAGAAATTCAATTATTTTGAAAAGTAATAAAATTTTTCGCAAAAATTAAATTATGATGAAAAGTTTAAAAAATTATCGTCAAAATTCCAAATTATCTTTATAAATATTTAAATTTTCCTCCAAAATTCAATTATTTTCAAAAATTTTAATGAAATTCTTTTTAACAAATTCAATTTTTTTCAAAAATTCTCCTCCAATCAATGATTTTCAATATCTACTATTTTAATAAAATTTTCCAAAAAGAAATGAATTATTAAAAAAATTTTTTATAAATTTCTTCGCAATAATTCTATTATTTTCAGAAATATTCAATTTATGTTTACAGAAATTCAATTATTTTTATAAATATGTAATACAATTATTTATAGGGATTCAATTATTATTTTCATAGATAATAAAACTGATTGCAGAATCTCAATTATTTTTTATACAATTTTAATCGAATTCCTCGATAAATGTAATTACATTTTATATTCTTAAAAATTTTACTAAAATTCGTCAAAAGAATTCAATTATTTGAAAATTTGTTAATAAAATTCTTTATGAGAATTCAATTTTGAGAAACATTCAATTATTCAATAAATTATTTACTTTTTTTATTAAAAATAATTAGGTATTTAAAAAGAAATATTATTAAAAAATTCGTGTCAAGAATTCAATTATTTTCAAAAGTAATATAAAATTCTTAGCAGAAATTAAATTATGGTGAAAAGTTTAAAAAAAATTCGTAGTCAAAGTTTCAATTATTTTTATAGATATTAAAATTTTTCTCTAAAATTCAATTATTTTCAAAATTTGTAATAAAATTCTTGGCAATATTTCAATTATTTAAAAAAATTTTAATAACATTCTTGACAAAATTTCAATTAGTTTCAAAAACTTTTCTCAATTCAATGAAATTTTTTCACAGAGATTCAATTATTTTTAATACATTTTTAATCTAATTTCTCGATAAATGAAATTATTCTTAAAAATTTTATTGAAATTCGTCAAAAGAATTTTAATTACCTACCTATTTAAAAATTTTTTCAAAAAATTCTTTAAATGAGAGTTGAATTTTAAAAGACATTCAATTCTTCAATAAATTATTTTTTGTTGTATTTAAATAATTGAATTTTCATAGAATTTTCTAATAATAATTGATTGAAATATGAATTTGAGTTAAAACTTTAGATAATAATTGAGTTTTCAAAAAGGTTTGAAATTATAATCTTTGATATTGAATGTTTGAATTTTTCATACTTTTAACTTAAAATTGTGTAGATTTAATTTTTTTTGTAAAAGTTGAATTGAATTTTGTTTGAAGTTATTTCAAGTTTTTATTTTCTAATATATATTTGATTGAAGAATTTCCGAATACCTGAATAATCGATAAAATTTCGTAAAAAAAAATTCAATTTAAAAAAAAAAATTTTTTTTTTTAAAATTTTAAAATTTAATTTTCAAATCCTTTTGTTTACAATTGTAAACAAAAGGATTTGAAAATGTTGAAAGAAATTTTTCAGAAATTATTAATAATAATTACTTTAAACTTTATAAAGAAGAATTTTAGTTAGAAATTTTGGAAAACAATAATTGAATTAAAATAATGAAAGTAATTTTCAATAAGTAGTAACAATATTCTTATAATAGGTGTAAAATGATGATTTTATCAGTCCAACATTTTTAATTATTATAAAACATGAAGATATCGATTGCTTTGAGTCGAAGACTCGGAGTGATCGATATTTTCATGTTTTATAAACTTATATTTAATTTCAAAAAGGTTAGAATTAAAAATTTTGTAAAATGTAAATTTAGTTTTAAAAACCTGGAAAACCTGGAAAAGTCAGGGAATTTTAATATTTTTAAATGAGTAAAAGCGTGGCAACCCTGTTAATCTTCCTTTACAATGTCGAAAAAATTCTAAAATTCGACAAATTTCTTTTTAGAATCATCAAGATTTGTTAAAAAAAAAATTTTTTTATTTTAGTGTTATTTTAACTAAAATTCATATTTACTTTTCTTTTTATTCATTAAATAAGTATTAAAATTACCTAATTTTTTTCAATTTTTCCACACCGAGGGAAAATATTTTTATGACATAATTTTTGATAAGAGCGGAATAAAATTTTGTTCTTTCGTTTTTGTGCATAAATTTAGAGTAAAAAGTTCATCTCATGATGTAAATTTTTCTCGGCACTTTTTTTTTTTATTTTTGTAAAACGTCTAGCTGAGGAAAATCTTGAGCGTAGAGTTGGACTCTCTCTCTCTCTCACCCCCACCCTTGTTCTAAAGTATATGTAAATGTAATTAACTCTCTGCGGGTTGAGTCTCAAGAAGTTTGATCATGAAGGTTGATCTCAAACTTGGTCACAAAGTTAATTGGTAGTTGGTACCTTTCTAACCAGTTTGCGTATCGATTGTTTCAGTGCTGAGGGACGAGTTTCGTGTGGAACCTCAGAACACGAGGGTCGCGACTGGTGAAACTGCTTTGCTCGAGTGCGGACCGCCTCGAGGCCATCCGGAACCTACCTTGCAATGGAAGAGGAACGGGCACGTTATAGACTTGGAAGCCACCAAACGGTAAGTTTATACCGAGAACCATGTCAGCTGCTGCAGCCGCCACCGCCGCCGCCGTAGCGCGAACTGCATATCGCTGTGTACAGTTTAAAGGTTCAAAGTTCAACTTAAGGACTTCAACTTTCAACCTTATAGTATAGTTTTCAAGTTTCCTTAATGTAAAACTTTCAACAATATTTTCTCTCTCTTCAAGAATAATGTTTACAAATCCCCCCCCCCCACCCCCATCACCCCGTCTCTCGAAAATAATCAGGAATCAATCTTTGAATGAATTGTTCGACGCAACTTTTTCTTTTTCCAAGTGTATACTTGAATTATTTTCTTTTTCAATCCTTCTTTCATTTTTTTTTTTTTTTTTTTATTCGTTTGTAAAGATTAGGTCCGTAAATAACTGGGGAAAAAATTGGCGACCTCTTTCAATGAAATTCTATTCAATTTCAACTTTATTTTTCAAAGATCCGACACTTTTAACTAACTTGGAATTTTTTTTTTTTTTTGCGTGACTTCTGTACAAATAAATTTAACTTTAAATTTTTCGTTTGAAAAAGTTCAAAAAAAAATTTTTTGATTTGATAACACTGTTTTTCTGCAGATATCAAATTGAGAAAAAAAACGAATTAAAAAAAGTGTTGCAAAGCAATGTTTTGATTCGTTTTTTAATGTCTTAATTTGATATCCTTAGAAAACTGAAAAATTAGATAAATAATTATATTATTTATAGTATTAGTATTTTATTCTAAAACATTTTAAATGTCTGACTGAAAGTATTTTTCACTACTAGTGAGAGAGGTAATTTTTAGAAAAAAGAAAACGTAAAAAACAAAATTATTATTTTACAAAAATTTTTTTTAACTTTTTTTCAACAACTTTAATAATATAAACATTTAAATAATATTAAATGAAAATAAGATAAAAAAATAAAATTTGAAGAAAGGAAAAATCTCCGTCTAAGTAAAAGTGATGTTTACTACTATTTTTATACTTTTAAAATTTAACAAGAATTAAAAACTGGTTGCCTGACTGAAAATTGGTTTACTACTGAAACAGCAGTAGTAATTTCGAATTTATTAATAATTTTATTAATAGTGTTGCTAATAATAATACAAAATTAGTGGAAATTTTTTTTTCAGGAAGAAATTATGATTTGCTAATTTACTATTGAGAAATAATTTACAGAATAATTACAAATACTGCATTTTTTTTACGTCTGACTAAAACAGTTTTTACTACTTATCCACGAATTATATTTTAAAAACAGTTGTCATACTAATAAAGTCGTCATTTTCTACACTAGTGGCTGTTAATTAGCAAAGCTTTGAAAGTTTTCAAAAAGGTGTTATTAAATTCTAATAATATTTTATAAATAATAATAGTAATAAAAAAATTTTTTCCTCTCTTAAACTTGTTTTGTAAAATAATAATAATAATAATAATAATAATAATAATAATAATAATAATAATAATAATATTAATCATAATAATAATAATAATATTAATCATAATCGTAATCGTAATAATAATAATTATACCGAACAATAGTAATAATAGTAATAAATACAGAATAAAAATTTAAATATTATTGAATTGCAATAATTTCGTAATTAAGAAAATTATAAATATAGTAAATTTAAAAAAAATAATAAATTTATAAACATTGAATTAAGTATGAAATAGAATGTTAAGGAATAAAAATTATTTTATTTATTATTATCCATATCAGTATTTTTATGCTTTTGCTAAAAATTCAACATGCGTTTTAATTTTCAAAATTCTTTTCACACAAAGCATATAAAATTTAATATCATTTAATTAATATAAATAATTTAATTCTTTAGAAGAATTCTATTATTGATAAAAATAATTGAATTCTTGCAAACAACTTTACTATTTATAAAAATAATTGAATTGTTTCGAAGAATTTATTAAAATTTTAGGAAATAAATTAATCTTATGTAAATATTTTGAAAATAATTAAATTCTTTTGAGGAATTTAATTATAAATTTGTTTTTGAAAAGAATTGACTTTCTGCAAAGAATTTTTCTACTTTATAAAAATAATTCAACTGATCGATAAGAATTTATTAAAATTTTAAGGAAAAATTGAATTCTTTTGAAGAATTTTATAGAAATATTTGAAAATAATTAAATTCTTTTAAGAAATCCATTTAAAATTGTTTTTGAAAATAATTGAATTTCTGCAAAGAATTGTACTATTTATAAAAATTCAATTGTTCCGAAGAATTTATTCAACTTTTAGGAAATAAATTAATTTTATCTGAATATTTGAAAATAATTCAATTCTCCAGAGGAATTCAATTAAAATTGTTTTGAAAATAATTGAATTCTTGCAGAGAATCTTATCAAAAAAATTTCAAGAGAATAATTGAATTCGTTCGAAAAATTTTTTTGTTTATGAAAATAATTGAATTCTCGCGATGAATTTTATTGAAAAAGTTTAAATAAAAATCCTAATTAAATTCTTTTGAAGAATTTCTTTAAAATTTTTTTTAGTAATGGAGATTTTTTAATAATTGTAATTGAAAATTTTGAAAGCAATTGAATTTTATGAAAAAGAATTAAGTTAAAATTGTATTGAAAATAATTTTATTCTTGAGAAGAATTTTATTATTTATAAAAATAATTAAATTGTTCCGAAAAATTGATTAAAATTTAAGGAAATAAATTAATTTTATGTTAATATTTTAAAATAATTAAATTCTTTTGAGGAATTCAATTATAAATTTGTTTTGAAAAGAATTGAATTTCTGCAAAGAATTTTACTATTTATAAAAATAATTGAAATGATCGAAGAATTTCTGAAAATTTTAAAGAAAAATTGAATTGTTTTGAAGAATTTTACAGAAATATTTGAAAATAATCAAATTCTTTCTTGAAATTCAATAAAAGTTGTTTCGAAAATAATTGAATTCTTTCAATTTTTTTGACGAATATATTGAAAAATTGCATTTGTAAGTAATTTAATTTTCATATATAGAATTTTTTTAAAAATATTTTGAGAATAATTGAATTATTTTTAAAGAATTTTAAATTTTTGTTGAAATCGAACTTTATGGGAATTTTTGAAAATAATTAAATTCTTTCGTGTAATTTTATTTAAATTGGAATAAAAAATTCTTTCGTGAAATTTTATTAAAATTTTTTTAAAAATAATTCAATTATTTGCAAAAAATTTTACTATTTATAAGAGTAATTGTATTTTTCCAGAGAATACTATTATTCATATGAAAATAATCGAATTCTTGTGAAGAATTTTAGTATTTATAAAAATAAGTGAATTCTTTCGTAAAATTTTATTAAAATTTTGTTAAAAATAATTGATTTTTTTGCAAAAAATTTTACTATATTTATAAAAATAATTGTATTCTTCCAAAGAATATTATTATTTATATGAAAATAATTGAATTCTTGTGAAGAATTTTATTATTTATAAAAATAATTGAATTCTTTCGTGAAATTTTACTAAAATTTTGTTAAAAATAATTCAATTTTTTGCAAAAAATTTTACTATTTATAAATATAATTAAATTCTTTAGTGATATTTTATTAAAATTTATTTTAATTTATTTATATAAGAATAATTGAATTCTTGCTTAGAATTATATTTAAATTTTTGAATTTATAAACAATAATAATTAATTTTGTACTTATAATAAGTAAATTTTAAAAATTTTGACTATGAAATTATTTTAAAATTTATATTTGAAAATAAAAAATTTTCTAATTTGCATAACAATAATAAATTGAATACAATGTATACGTAGAAAATAGAAATCACAAAAATAATAATTTTAGAAAGTAGAAATCAGTTATTTTATGCTTTAGCTAAAAATTCAATCTGCGTTTTAATTTTCAAAATTCTCTTCACACAAAGCATATAAAATTTAATATTTTCTTCTCCAAAAAACAAAAAAAAAATTACTAAGTCAACAAAAATACGTAAACATTTTTTGAATACAAAAATTTCATTTTTAAAAAAAAATTTATAACTCCTGAAATTCAATACTAGATTTACTTTTGAATGCCGCCAGCAAAACTCGCGAAAAACTTTTTTTGACATCTATATATTCATTTTGATTGAAAACAGTTTCATTTCACACATATATATATAGTTATGTAAATTCACATACGCAGTGAAATTAATTACGTGTTGCAAGAGAAATATAACGAATTAATTTTCACGAGCTTTTTGTATAATGATATAAATTATCGAAAAAAAAGAAAAAAGTGTCTCTGAAAGTATTATAAACACACTATTTTAAGAGACATGACAAAATGTATTTTTATTTATATATTTATATTTATATATTATTGGCTATATAATTATATATAGTAAAGTTGTCTTTTCGCGTACCGTTAATTAGCCACTTTATTGGATTATGGGTTCCGAATGATTTGATTAATGGCTACAATTAATTTACTCAGGAAAGCGATAAATACGTGGCTGTTAAAATATATATATATATAGAAAAAATGTGAGGCGGACTTTAACAACTAAATAATCGAGAATAATTAATTCACCAAAGCCAAAGAACTCGCAGAAGCAGTTAAAGCTCACGCTGACAAAGTAACTGCTATTACTATTCATTTTTAAACACCAACTGTCCACTACCTATTAGGAAACTTTAGTTTAAGTTTTGCAAAATATTTTTTGTCAAAGGAGGACAAAAAAATAAAAAAAAAATGTAAAAAACTATAAAGTATTATTACCAAATAACTAAAAATATATAAGGTAAAAATTGAAGAAGGAATCTGAAAAATAGAAAAATAATTTTAAAAAAAATAGAAATAATTGAAATATTAAATAAACAAATAGAGAAAAATAGACATTTTTTTTAATTACTTACTTAGCTTCTATTTTTATTTATTAATTTTCAGTTCTATTTTTCACCATTTATTCATTTCTTTTTATTTTTTTTTTCTACAAAAAATTTTTTCTATTAAAAAGAATATTATTATTTATATATATAATAATAATTGAATTC